CATGCACTGCCCCAAACCAGCAACCCGCCACTCAAACACCCCCACCTGCTCACCTCTGTGCTACAGAAGCCTCTAGAAAACCAAAATCCCCTTCAAAACACTCAGTGTTTCAAAAAGCTCCTTCTGATCAGCCTCGCTTCCCAGCCCGAGGCGACTGCGCTCCTGCACAGCGCTGAAATCGCTCTGTCTGGGTTTTAGAGCAAGGGTTCACAGCAGCAGCACTTGTTAACCATCTCCCCTCCATCTGCACGCAAGATTTGTATTCTAAACACAACCAAGCACCTGCAGCAGCGCAGGAAAGGAGCCTCCATTTCATCTCATCTCCGCTTCAGTATTGCTTTCAGAACTTACCGGACTAGGAGTCTCTTTCATTTTCTGTTCAGCTATTTTAAGGTTGGATTTGTAGGTGTCGTTGTCTGGATCAAGCTCCAGGGCTTTTTTGTAGTAGACAACAGCTTCTGTGTGTTTATTTAAACTGGAGAGAGCCAAGCTGTTGAAGTGGAAATAAAAGAAAGTTACAGAGGGAGGTAAGGACTCGCAGCCTTCCTCCACCCCAGCAGAGGTGAAACACCAGGTATTTTCACATGGCACTGCAGGGCAGAACACTGCTGATAGTGTAATTACCACCAAGCACTCGGAGACTGAAGTTCTGGCACAAAACCCCCTTCTCTCACTTACCCCATTCTGCCGTAAGCTTTGCTGTAGTTTGGATCGATGCCGATTGCTCTTTCACAGTCTCTGACTGCTCCAGCATAATTTCCTAATTTACTGTATGCAGCAGCTCTGGAGAGAAGAAGAAAGATGTGCAAAACCACTTATCAGCTTGAACATGCTGATCAAGGTCACCTCTGCTCCCTCTCTGCAGCCTCCTGTTCTAAAGGGAAAGTCAAAGTGTGAACTTGACACAAATCCAGACCGTTCCTACGTGAGCAGCTTGCTATCCAAACCCTCAGCCTCACATTCTGCTCCTGCTGCAAACAAACCTGAGCTCTCCCCCCTCCTTACAGACATTCCAAGAGGAAGGAAGCAGGAAAGGATCCCATCGCTGGCTCAGCCTCATCTCCCCTTCACCCCCATATCTCAGTCACAAGGACTGCTGCTCCTGTTTTCCCATGCTCTCCACATGCTGACAGCAAGCCTTCAGCTGGTCTCACTGCACTCCTTTGTTTTTGCCTCTCAAATCCCAGCCCTTGTCTTACTGAAGGAGTTAATTGCATGAAAGCAGACAGCGCTCCTTGGTACCCTCATCTCTCTTACAATGCCAAAGGGTTTGTTTCCACACCTACTGAGTGATGCCAGGGCACAGAGCTGGCTAGGAGAGCGTGTCACCGAGCTAAGGAAAAACCAGAAGCAAAACCACCACAAGCAGCAACAGAACAAGCAGCCTACAGAACTTTGGAAAGGGGATTTTGAGCGAGCAGGAGCTTGAGGTGTAAGAAATAAGGGCCAAAACCACAGGTGTGCAAGGCCAGAGACAACCAGTACCTGTTGCAAAAATACACAGCGTTGGATGGATTTAACTCAATTGCTTTTCCGTAGAAGGACACAGCAGCTTCAAAGTTCTCTGCCTTCATCTGTTCATTCCCTAAAGAGATGGAGAAAAGGCTGAGTAAGTTAAAAATGCAGGCAAACAAAAGCAACGAGCCCAGATCTCTGCTCTTCATAAGAAAACAGAACAAAAGAGAAGCCAAGAGCTTGCATCTCTTGCTGACCTGTCAAACTGCGTGCAAGCGTGAGGCAAGTTCAGCAGTGCAGCAAGAGATCCTTATCTTGGCAATTTCAGGTTACTTGTCAGCCTTTCAGATCCTGCAAGCCCCCTCAGCTGCTTTCCCATCTCAGACACAGCAGAGGCCTCCCCAGAGTCACTCTGTGCTCTGGACATCAACGCAGTGCTCTGGCTTACTGAAAGCTCCCTGCTGTACGTCAGCACTGCTCACGCTGTCTTGCATGGCAGAGAAAAGGCAGCACACAGAGGAGAGCCCAGCAGGAAAGATGCCACATTTACACAGCACGGGCCTTCAGAATGCAAAAGAAAACGCTGAGCCAGCTGTCTACGTAGGTTCTGTGGCAGCTAAATAACACCAACCTCCACACGAGCAGAGGAACAAGCAGAAACAAAGGGCTGATCCCATCCATGCGCTCCCCAGGTGCTGAGTGAGCTAAGCCTTCCACCCCAACATCATTTAAACCTCATCAAACCCCAGCTCCAGGGGAAGCTACCTTCGGTCTTGAGCCTTTCAGCTTCAGCTACGTCATCTTCAGAGGGGGTGACAGGCTCCGAGTTTGCTCTCATGTGTTCAGGCTCCTTACAAGGAAAGGGAGAAGGCTGTGCTGAGATCAGGACTCCCACAGAGAAGTTCCACACCTCCCCCTTCCCAAGCACATCGAGCCCAAAACATTTCACTCCCACACGCCTCCAGGGGGGCGAAGCAAAGCAAAGCTCATTGCTTTGGCTGCTCACATCGAAACTCAGCACATATTTAGGGAATTTGCTCACCTTTCCTGCAGCAGCTTCAAATATTTCAGGGAGAGTTTGTGACACAGCGAGGCCTTGGTCTTCCAGGGAGACTCCAAAAGCTGTCTCCAGGCACTGGATTGCCACTGGGCGTAACGAATCGGGTCGTTAGCTCTCCCCATTCTAATTACTGAGCTCTCTTCCACAACACCCAAATTTCTTACAGTTGAACACGCCAGAAAAACGCCCCAGCATATTTTACCAAACCCTCAGAGCTGGGCAAAGCAGCTCCCAGGAAGCATCACTGACAATTCCCATCCCCTCAGGTAACTTCAGAGCAGGTGGATGTTAACAGAACAAGGGCTTTATTAGCACTCCCAAAGCTCAGAGCCAAGAGACAGCAGCACGTTTCAGGAAACACATGAAACAAGCAACCAAGCACCACGCTCTGCAGGCAATGCCTGCGCTCCCCCTTCCACCACACAGGCCAAACACTAAGGCATAAGCTCCTTAGGCAGATCTTTTCAGATCAGCGTGCTCTCGTGACAGGGAAGCCCCCTGAAAAAGCCTGTATGAATGCTTCACAGTGTGATGTGGAAAAGCACTTTGAGAGCAGACCTGGAAAAGCACTTCTGTAATATGAATCATTTCCGTACTGCCACAGAGTTCTTGTTCTGCGCTGTTACCAAACCCTCCATCAACCTCATTGAAGATAAAAAGTTTTAAATCTCAAACCCAGGGTGAGGGAGGCTTTTGATCCCAGGCATATCCGTTCCTCAAGCTAATCTAGTTTTGAAAGAGGGAGCAAGAAATCAGATAAGCAATCAGCATCTCTAATTGCCTGCTATCTGCCTAAGAAGAAAAACTCATTCAAATCTTGGATGTTAGAAACAGCCCAGGCAAGTTATGAGGCAGAGGACGGCAACCAAACGTCCAAATTGCTCCATGAGCTGGGCTGACAGATCCACACACAAACAGAGAATGGCCACCTACCTTCCAAACTCTCCTGAGCATCTGGAGAAAGACCCCCGTTCTGTAGCTGGTCATGTAAGAACTGGATGATGGAGTATGCAAGGCGCTTCTGGTCTGCCATTGTGGGAGGCTGTGATGTTTGGACTTCTTCTAACTTAAAAAAAATATATTGTAGTATCTGTAGAGAAAGAAATTACATGACCTGAAGGGCTGGAAGTCAAAGGTCTCTTCTGCTGCTCTCTCCCTATATAAAGGGATGAGGGAATCCTTCAGGATGGAGCAAGGCCTTCAGAGCCTTCATTAATCCCTTTACTCTACAAATACTCACCTGACCTCCCAGCCCTCAATTCCCCTCTGCACCCCAGCTGCACGGCACTGCCCTGCCTCACACACCACTGCCAAGGGAACCACACAAAAGGCTTTAGGGACACACAGCCCCCAGAAATGGATCAAAAAGACTCAGCCCTGAGTAGATCAGCACTAAGAACACCGCAGCTCTCCTCTTCCTGAGCCAACGCGGGTGTGAGACAAAGACAAGGGGACAGCACGGGGAAACGGTGAGCCGAGCCTGGAGCTCTGCACGGATCCCCACGCAGACCCGCAAGACACAAACGGCCTCGTTGCCCTCAGGGAACCAACGCAGCTCCCAGCACGGAGACGGGAGCGCAGAAAGCCGCGCATGGCTCGTGAATTGAGAACCCAACTGTTTAAATGCAACCTCTGCTAAAGGAAACCCCGCTGCCCGGCCCGGCTCTCTGTCAGGCCCCGGGGGCTCCTGGGCCGGCCCAGCAGCGGTGTGTCCGTCTGTCTGTCCGTCTGTAGTGGCTACGAGCGTGCGGCCCCGAGCCACGCCGACCCAACGTGCCCTCAGCTCGAGGCCCGCACAGCTCTGGATCCCCAGCGCAGGCCCCGGGACACGGCACGGCCCACGTCAGACCCCAGAACGAGATGAAACCGCCCGGCCCGGAGCCAGGCCTCGGTCGCCCAGCAGCGCGGTGCAGCGTAGCCCGGCTTCCCGCCGCCGCCGTCCCCCGCCCCGCCGCCACCGCCGCTCCGCCCCGCCCCGCCCCGCTCACCGGGCACCGCGACGCTCCCCACGGCCAGGGCGGGCGCGGCACTGCGCATGCGCCGCTCCCACCCCACGCGCACGCGTGCTGTCGGGATGATACTGCGCATGCGCGTCGCGTGGAGCGCTCAAAACGCGTGCGCAGCAGCGAGGCTCCGCCCTCATCCGCCATGACAGAGCTACGGGGAGGGGCGGAGAGCTCGACGCATGCGCATTGCGTGCCCTCTGAGGTGACGGCTGGAGGCCGGAAGCGCGGCTGCGGCTCCTCCTCGTTAACCATAGAGACGATCGGGAGTGTGTCGCTATAGTAACGGGCGGGCGGCCCAGCCGGGCCGGTTGCTCCGCTGCCGGCGGTGCGATGGCGCTCAGGACCGTGGGCGGGGCGGGGATGGTGATCGGGCCGCTCCTGCTGCACCGGGCTGGGCTGAAGGGACTTAGAGAGCGGCCCGGTCCTCCCCCCTCCCACAATCCCTCAGCGCGGCCGCTCTGGCCGCCCGTCTCGCTGCTTAGGCACATGCTCGGTGCGCGGGGCCGGCGCGGTTTCCTCGCGGCCTCGTCAGCAGCAGCGGGGCCCCCCGGCCGGCCGGCATGGCTCCTCCTACAGGTAGCGGCTCGGGGGGGGCAGGACTGCGGCGAGCAGTGGGGGGAGGACGGAGGGTGGAGGAGGAAGCCTTGGGAGGGGGCGAGACCCGGGGGCTGGGGGCACAGGGCACGGCCCGGGGGGGGGAGGGGAGACAGAGCAGCCCCATAGGGCCCGAGGGGACCCCCGCCCTTGGACAGCCCCTTTGGTTGAGGGCACGGTGTGCCATCCCCCTGCACTCGCTGTTTTGCCCTCCGTGCCAACCTGTGTGCAGGGCCCCTATGGGGTGTTCTTACCGAACTCGGGATGTGCAGCTGAATTTTCCTCCCGGCTCACGTATGGTTTCCTTCCCGTTCCCCCAGGTAACGTGGTGGACAGTCAGTCCCCCCGCCTGCCAGCCAACCAGCTGCGCTGGGATCTGAGTGCTGAGCAGATCGAACGCATGGCTGCTGAGCTCACCGAGAGGACTAAGCTGGTGTACGACCGTGTGGGCTCCCAGGAGCAGGGCGAGGTGTCCTATGAGAACACCCTGAAAGCGCTGGCGGATGTGGAAGTGGAATATACAGGTATGCGTGTGAAGTGGGAGCGCTCGCTGTCAGGAAATCTACATCTTAATATGTGTGTTTTTTGCACCTTTTTTTGGTTCTGTCATCTCCTTTTGCCTTCCCTTGACCCGCTCCGTGATGTGTGTGCTTTTCTAGTTAATGTTTACACAGCCAGGTGCAAGTACAAAGCAAAGAGTAGACTTGGAACGGAAACCTGAGTCTAAAATGAGAATAGTATTTTGGCAGCAGGAAGGTCTGCGGGAGGAGCAGCTCGTTTTCAAGGTTGCCTGCTGATTTTATATGTCAAGATGCATCAGTGGGAACAAAGGGTGCATTGACAGAAGTCTCAGAAATCTTTAGGTCGTTGTCATTTTTGGTTTCTTCTCCAGGGCAGTGGATGGATATCTGTGTGTGTCTGTTTGAACATTGCTGTCATTTTAGGGCTTCTGCAAAGTAACGTGATGTGATGGCGTGGTGTTACCTGGTGGTAGCAGGGAATGTTTTCTGTACATTCATTTCTAAAATGGAGATGAGTCAGGTGAGAGCACACCTGGAGCATTGCAGCATTCAGGAAGCATCTGCAACAAAGGTGTGTCACTGATGGCCTGGTTCCATTGTGGAAGGAGGCATGCAGCCATGCTGCCTGCGTGTCTGCCAGCTGTCATTCTGTTGATACCAGCTAAGCCTGGCAAAATAGTTGGGAAATTCATGCAAGTTTTGTGAGAAGGCCTGAGTGTAGGGAGAAATCAGTGGACAGATCTGGTTAGCAGGTGTGACAGTGAGCATGGGGTCACTCCAGATTTGTCTGAGGGCAGCAGCTTGCCTTGCTCTCCCTGTGTGTGGGCAGCTGGGTCAGGCTCCAGGGCTGTCAGACTGGCTCCCAATCCACACAGACTTGCTGTCTGCACTCCTGCTCGTGAGCAGCACTGGGACACAAAGCTGGGACACGAAGCTGTTGCCTTTTTTGTGATCTCTCTGCTGTCTTTGCAGTCCGTCGGAACATGCTGGACTTCCCCCAGCACGTCTCTCCTTGCAAAGACATCCGTGCAGCAAGCACTGAAGCTGACAAGAAGCTCTCAGAGTTCGATGTGGAGATGAGCATGAGGCAGGATGTGTACCAGAGGATTGTCTGGCTCCAGGTGTGTGCCTCTGAGTGGGGAACTGAAACTTCCTGGAACGACAGCAAACTTTCTTCCCTTGTCTCAGGCCTTAGAAGCAATGATGCTGGGTCTGGAGCTGAGTGGTTGTATGGTCTAAGTGCTAGAGTGACCTGGGGAATTGAAATCTGAGGGCTGTGACACAAACCCAGGGCCTTGGTTATCCTTGTGGTTAAAAATAAAAATAAAAAGTGTTGGTATGCTTGCCTCCCTTGTGGAAAAAGGCCTGGGTAATTCTTCTGTGTCACTAGTGTTACAATTGCCAGCAGGTCTCAGGACCAACTTCCTGCAGCAGCGTGTGAGGATGTCTGATCCCTTGGCCCCCTGCACTCATGGGCTTTGTTTTATACAGGAGAAAGCAGAGAGTGCCTCACTGAAGCCTGAAGCAAAGAGGTACCTGGAGAGGCTGATCAAATTGGGCAAAAGAAACGGTCTCCATCTGCCTGAGGAAACGCAGGAGGTGAGAGCATAGAATTGCAGAGGAGGCCTTGTGGGGTGGTAGGGAGGGGAGGCTGAGGTGGGCAGACTGAGGGATGAGCTGCTCAGGGTCTCCCTCTTACCACGAGCCAACGGCTCAGTGAAGGAGCCTGAATCAAGGTTAAAAATACAAGAGAAGGTGAGATGAAATAAGGGCAGGGGAGGCAGCTGCTTCAACACCTGCAGCTCTTGAGCCTGCGGGAGGCAGTTGGGACCTTGCTGAGGTGGCTGCTACCTACCAGGTGTGATCAAAGGGAGCCTGTTCCAGGCTGAGAGCTCAGTGCCTGCACACAATTAATTCTGCAGCATTGTGTTTGAATAAAAGCCAACTGCAAACCACCGGGCGACTCAGCAGGCAGGCTGCTGGCTGGAGGTTTGAGGGGTGCTGTTTGACTTTCCCGTTTGGACTGACTTCTTCCTGTCTGTCTCTCTATTTTAAAGAAAATCAAAGCTATTAAGAAAAAGCTGAGCGTCCTTTGCATAGACTTCAACAAGAACCTGAACGAGGACACCACCTTTTTGCCCTTCTCAAGGGAGGAACTAGGTATGGATTACTCGTGCTTGCCAGTTCTCTGCATGCTGTGGTGGTGGGTCAGGTACAGAGTTAAAAAAGGGTGGTCTGCCTTTTTTCTGTGTGAGCAAGAAGTGTTTTTGTGCTCTGGTAGCACAGCCCAGCCAGTGTGCAATAATGTGAGCACTGGGATTGCTCTGGGGAAGGAGCAAAAGCTTGTTTCTGTGCACAGACCTGGTATTTTGGGGGAAAGATGTGGGCTCTTTGTCATTTACCTGCTCTTTTCTCAGGGGGGCTCCCTGAGGACTTCTTGAACTCTCTGGAGAAGACAGAGGATGGCAAGCTGAAAGTCACCCTGAAATACCCCCACTATTTCCCTCTCTTGAAGAAGTGCTACGTGCCTGAGACAAGGAGGAAGGTGGAGGAGATGTTCAACTCGAGGTGCAAAGAGGTGGGTGGCCTCACTGCTGGCCAGGAGGAGCAAATGCCAGTCAGGACATGGGCAGCTCGTGCTTCCTTTCTTGTGTACCTGCTTCGTGCTGAGCTGTGTGCCTTTGCATTGCAGGAGAACTGCTTGATCCTCAAGGAGCTGGTGGACTTGCGGGCTCAGAAAGCCAGTCTGCTGGGCTTCAGCACTCATGCTGATTTTGTGCTGGAGATGAACATGGCTAAAAGCAGCAAGACAGTGGCTACTTTCTTGGGTATGGCCCCTGGTTGTGTGGTGGAGGGGGGGCCGGGGGCACTGCTGGGCTGAGTGCTGCTCTCACCAACGCTGCCTGCTGTGCTTTCCCAGATGAGCTGGCCCAGAAGCTGAAACCCCTTGGGGAGAAGGAACGGGCAGTGATCCTGGACCTGAAAAAGAAAGAATGTGAGAAGCGAGGCTTGGAGTTCGACAACCGCATCAACGCCTGGGACATGCGCTACTACATGAATCAGGTGGAGGAAACCAAGTACAGCGTGGACCAGAACCTGCTGAAGGAGTACTTCCCCATGCAGGTGGTCACCACGGGCCTGCTGGCCATTTACCAGGAGCTGCTGGGGCTCACTTTCCATCTAGAAGAGAAGGCTCAGGTGTGGCACGAGGACGTCCAGCTCTACACGGTGAAGGACACCTCCTCCGGGGAGACCATCGGCAAGTTCTACCTGGATCTGTACCCACGGTGAGGCTCAGGGCAAATCAGATTGAGGGCTGAGGGGCAGTGGGAGCAGAGTGCTGTGTGCCTGAGGAGGAGAGACATCCCTCTCCCCAGCACGTGGCTGTGGCAGAGGGGGGCTAGGGGTGTCCTGGGGGTACTGGTTTTGTGTGAGCTGTAGCATCGCCAGGGCTGCTGAGCAAATCTCAGTGCCCTGTTTGATGGCTCGTGGCTGGGAGCATCAGACAGCAAACTCCTCTTCCTCACCCAGGGAAGGGAAGTATGGGCACGCAGCCTGCTTCGGCCTGCAGCCAGGCTGCCTCCTGCCAGACTCCAGCCGGCAGATCTCGGTGGCTGCCATGGTGGCCAATTTCACCAAGCCCACACCGGATGCACCCTCCTTGCTGCAGCACGATGAAGTGGAGACCTATTTCCACGAATTTGGGCACGTCATGCACCAGCTGTGCTCTCAGGTGAGGTCTGGCTGGCTTGGCAGAGGGGTGGTTTGTTACCTTTCCCCACTTTGTGCCCTCAAGTTGGGTTATGCCCCACTTGGAGATGTGGTTGACTGTCTGGATGCGTCTCCTAGGCGGAGTTTGCCATGTTCAGTGGGACACACGTGGAAAGGGATTTTGTTGAGGCACCATCACAGATGCTGGAGAATTGGGTGTGGGAGAAGGAGCCTTTGCTGCGCATGTCCAGGCATTACAAAACAGGAAGCCCCATTCCTGATGAACTGCTGGAGAAGCTCATTAAATCCCGGCAAGCAAACACGGGTAGGTGCTGAAGAGGGACGTGGGGGTTAGGAACAGAGGGTTGTGTGCTGTTCCCAGTGAGGACAGAGCCTTGCTGGGATGTCAGCTGCTGCATGTGGGGCAGGGAAGGGGACCGTTGGTGACCTGGCTGGTCGGGATGGTCAGATGAAAGGCTTTGTCTCGTTGCCTGTTGGGACTGAGAGGCCTGGCAGGAAGGACCCACATCTGTGGGGAGTTATGGGAGCCCCCAGGCCTCAGTTCTCTTCCTGGCCCCCCCCCCCCGCGGGGCACAGGGCTGTTCAACTTGCGTCAGATCGTCCTGGCCAAGGTGGACCAGGCGCTGCACACCCAGACGAAGGCTGACCCTGTGGAAGTGTTTGCACAGCTCTGTGAGGAGGTGCTGGGTGTCCCTGCTACCCCAGGTATGCGGGGCTCGTGCTGGGGGCCTCACTCGTGCTGTTTATGTGGGTTTGGTTCTGCGGGTCCCTTTCTGGGATGGGGCTTCAGGCTGGCTTGGAGGGGACGGTTTCCACTGACTCCAGGAAGAGCAGGGCAGAAACCACACCAAAAATAATGGGAAATTCCATCCCTGCTTCCCCTGCGATTGTGAACAGGCTGACACAGCGCCTGCTCTGACACATTTACAGCACGGAGGGCTTTTTCCACGACCAGTTCCTGCAGCCTTTCCAGTTTAACCCTTCCCTTCCTTTGCTGTGAAGGTACAAACATGCCGGCTACGTTTGGCCACTTGGCTGGAGGCTACGATGCCCAGTACTACGGGTACCTCTGGAGCGAGGTGTACTCCATGGACATGTTCCACACACGCTTCAAGCAGGAGGGGATCATGAACTGCAAGGTAGGGAGGATGTCCTGCATGGGTCAGACTCAGGGGCTGCCTTCCCCGGGGGAAGGAGGTGGTAGGAGGCACTGCAGCGAGGTCAGCAGGGAGCGGGTGCCCTGCACGCATTCCCATCTCTCTCCTTGCAGGTGGGCATGGATTATAGGAATTGTATCCTGCACCCTGGAGGGTCCCTGGATGCTTCTGACATGCTGAGGAAGTTCTTGGGCCGTGAGCCCAAGCAGGATGCCTTCCTGGCCAGCAAAGGACTGAAGGTGGAGAGCAACTCGCTGCCTTCAGCCTGCTAAGAAGCTGCTCCAGCCCGTTTGAGTCAAGCCAGCTCCTTTGCCTACTCACCAGTCCTCTCAGGCCCAGCAATACCCAGTACTTCAGCACATCCTGGGCCCGCCCCATTGGAGCTGCTCCTCCAGGATCCTCCTCTGAGCCCATCTGGGCACTCAGAGCTGGGTTTGGTCCGGGTCCTGGGCTCTGCAGTGACAGCTCTGTGTAGGAAATTGAATCCCCTTTGTGGCTCCCCAGAAAGGGGCTGGGGCTGTCACTGGCCACAAAAGTTAGCTGAACTTTGTACCTGATTTCTGCAGGAGGGTGAGCTGTAGTCTCATTGTTAGCTGGGGAGGAGGGTGAGAATTTAGCAAACTTGAACCATTGTTTTAAAATCCCTTTGTTAGGAGACTTCCCATAGGGCTTGACTTGTTTTGTGACCAGAGTAGCCTTACTGTTGAGCGCAAAACAAAACAGCCTGAGGAGTTTTATTAGGAATCCCTCTCTCCCCATCTTTGGGCAGCCGTGGAATAAACATAGGAAGATCTCGGTGCTTAAAAACCAACGTGTTTGCCAGAATGTCCTGTCCTGAGCTGCTGCAGTGCTGCTGCTTGGGGGGGCTGCAGTGTGTGTGTGGGGGGGGGGGGGCAGAGACCAGGACCCCACGTCTGGGGTCATCCAGGGGCAGCCGCTGCCCTCGGGGCTCAGGTCCCAGCAGCAGGGTGCCTTGCTGTTGGTGTCAGCTCTAAGCCAGGGTGGGACAGGGGAGGGCCATGGAGGAAAAAAAAGAAAGCAGGAGGCTTCAAACAGCACAGATGCTTGGGATAAAAATATCGAGTGGGCTTGCAGCCAGGGGAGGGCCTGGGAGCGGCCGGGCTGTGGGGGCCAGCAGGGCAGCCCTTCGCCTGGCCTCGAGAGCAGCGTGGCCCTGAGAAGGCCCATGGCAGTGCCTGCATGGCACAGGGTGGAAGTAGGCGCCCTCCTGGGAGAGCTGAGGCCCTGGCTGTGGTTTGCTCCTGCTGCGGTGAGGGGTTTTCCCTGCTCTCTCCCCAGCTGTGAGGTTGCTCAGAGCCAGGCGTTGAGCCCTGCGGCTCCTCTGCTGTTGGAGCTCACGCTGCCGGCCCCGGCTGCTCCCTGTGCTCCTCCTCTGGTCCCCAAGCTTCCAGCTGAGCTGCTTCACCCCCTGGGATGAAAGCTGGGCCAGCTGCTGATCAGAAGCACGCACTGTGTGCAGACAAAACCACTGCTGTCACCTTCCTGCCCCGGTCCCAGTGAGACGAGGGCCGCTGCCATCCTCCCTCACCCTGCCACATGGACGGGACCCAGAGCAGTGATGCGGCTCCTCGGTGCTCCTCACTGGGGCCAGGTAGGCACCCTTCTTTCCCCCCACCCTCTGTTTTAGGTATAGGTGAGTGTCTGTCCCGGGTGCTGGCAGCGCAGGGCTGGGTGTGCTCAATGTGACGCTGTGAGTGTTTATAACTGTCACGTTTTACTGAGCTTTCAGGGTTTTCTTCTGCCCTTTTCTCTCAGAGTAGAGATCCGGGCAGGGAAAACGTGCACTTTCCTCCCTCTTTCCCATATAACTTTGTCCCTCCTTCCACTTACTCGTGCTGATGTGTGCGGTGAGAGGTGCTGCTCGGAGGGCTGCCCCCAAGGCACAGCGCTGTCTTGCACCAGGCTCCCTGGAGCTGCACCTTGTCCCTCCGCCCCCCGCCAGGGGAGAGAGATCCCGTTTGTGGGTTTTCTTGTTTCATTTTGTCAACCTCGAAGGGCAAACCGGTGTGTGTGTGCCGTTTGTAATGGTCGCGTCCCTCCCTGCTTGTTCCAATGACTGGATTTTAGACGATTCCTAGCACTAATAAAGATTTTCCCATGCGGGTGTCAGCGTGGTTCAGGTCCGGCTGAGGAAGCTGCTCCTCCTGGTGCCAGAAATGGCTGCAGCACGGCGCTCACGGCACAGCCATCCCCACAGCAGGCTGAGGATGGGCACGGTGTGGCAGGCGTGGGGTGGCAGCGTGGCCGGTGTGAAGCCCTGTGCAGAGACAGTGATTTCCCCATGCATCCCTGTGCCCATGGCTGCTCCCACCTCCCCCCACACCTGGCTGAAGAAGCTGTGGTCCAGCACATCCTGCAGGTTGGGTCGTGCCAGGGGCTGGGGGGCCAGCAGCTGTGAGAGGAGAGCTCGGGCCCGGGCTGAGAGGCAGCTGGGCAGGGGATACTGCACTGCAAGGATGCGCTGGTACAGCTCCTGCCGCTCTGCTGCTTCAAAAGGTGGGCTGCCTGTCAGCACCGTGTACCTGGGGGGGGGGGGGGGTTTGGGTGCTCAGCAGGGCCGTGGGCACCCCCTGCCCTCCCCCCCCTGCTGGGCCACCACCTACATGACACAGCCCAGCGCCCACACATCTGAAGGCAGCCCGTGGCCCTTGCGTTCCAGCACCTCTGGGGCCAGGTATCCTGGTGTGCCGCAGAGCGTCCTGCGTGGGGGGCAGAGTGAGCTCTGTGCTGCTCCCCCCGTGGATGGGGGGCCATGGCTGCGCTCACCCCCACTGCCGCCCGCCTGCCGCCGCCTGCCGTGCCAGCCCCAGGTCCCCAATCTTCACCTGCATCTCCTCGGTCACCAGCAGGTTACCTGCAGGGGGACGTCAGCCTGAATGCAGCCGCAGCTCTCCCACCCCCCCCCCCCTTGCACGCCCTGCATACTTGGCTTGATGTCCCGGTGCACGATGCCGTGCCCGTGGAGGTAGCGCAGCCCGGCGATCACCTGCTGCAAGTAATACCTCACCTCCGGCTCTGTCAGCGCTCCTCGAGCCCTCAGGATGTCAGCAATGGACTGGGAGGGGGCAGAAAGGGGGCTCAGAGCACAGCACGGCCCCGCTGCTGCCCCCCATCCCTGCCAACCCCGCTCACCCCACGCCTGCAGTGCTCCAGCAGCAGGTAGAGGTGGCTGTGGGTGCCGAAGTGCCCGTGCAGCCGGACGATGTGGCGGTGGCACAGGCGGCCGTGCAGCTCCAACTCGTGCTCCACCTGCGTTGGGGTGAGCCCAGAGACCCCCCCAGTGCGCTGCCCTCAGGGAGATGGGGATGGGAAGCAAGGGATCAACCCAGGACAGGAGAAGGAGGAAGGGCTGCGGGCGTTGCTCCCCTCCCTGGAGTGCCCTGTCCCCCCAGACTCACCCTCTCCCTGGTTCCTGGCATGGAGAGCCGGGCCCGTGGGATCACCTTTGCAGCGTAGACCCTTCCGCTGGCCAACTCCATCAGCTGATAGCAGCTCCCAAAAGCACCCTGGGGAGACAGCGGGATGAACTCCCAGGGGTTGGGACCCCAGGGGATCTCCTGGTGCTGCTCTGTGCTCTGCTCTGCCTCCATCCTTGTTCTGTCTGTGCTGGTTTCCCCATGGAAAGGGGGAATCCTGGCTGGAGGCAGGAAGGTGTTGGACATTTACCTCCCCCAGCAGCCATCCCCGCTGGTAGAGAGCCCCGCTGCCCTCGTTCTGGATGTAGCTGTCGGGCAGCTCGCCCTGTGCCATCCTGCTGCACTGTGCTCTATGTTGGAATGCTTCACCATCACCTGCACCTGGCTTTCCCCCCCCCCCCCCACCCCCCCCGTGCTGTAACTGCTTCATCTCCAGGCTGTTCGTACCCTGGGTGCTGTGATGCTGTGGGTCCAGGGGGGCACAGCCCTGGGGTGGGTCCCACCTCCCTGGGCTGCTGGGTGGAGATGGAGCCCATGGCAATGTACCTAGAGTTTGGGGGATGCTGTGACCCCCTCCATCTGCCTGCCTTCCCAGCCATGCTGCGTCTCCCAGCACCCAAAGACCCCCCCCCAATCTCTCCAGAAGATCCCTCTGTAGCTGCTGGAACCCAGCCCCAAAGATGCTGGGCAAGAATGGGGCTGGGGGTGGAGGGGGTCTTATCTGCCTCTCCTTCCCTTTGGGCAGGACTGGGTTCCAGGGATCCCAATTGCAGCGGGGGGGGGGTTGCACCCCAGGGCCCCCTGCACAGGGCTCCCTGCCTGGCGCCTGCAGCTGGGCCTTGACTGGGGGGGGGGGGGGGGGCTGGCCAGCAGCCAGCGCAGGGCTGGCGGCAGCTGTGGCCCCCCCAGGGACATCCCAGGCCCTTAACTCCCTGTGTGCCACGCTGGGCTGTGCTGGTGTGTGTGTGATGCCAATGGGTGAGGAGACCCCTGGGAGGGGGGGGAGGACGGAGCCACCTCCAAGGGGGGGGCACAGCGAGGTGCCAGGAACGGGCCCCCCCCTCCCCCACCTCCCCTGGGGATACCAACTCCAGCGGCACCCGACCCCGTGTCACCCCACAGTGTTGAGGCTGAGCTTGGACTTGGGGTCACATTCGTCCCCCTCCCCCATCTTAGCCCCCCGTCCCTTCCCCCCCCCCCCCCCCCCAAGCAGAACCTCCCCCGCAGCTCGGTGCACCGTGGGCCCCCAAGGGTTAAGCAGGAGATTGGGGAGGGCTGGGCGCACCTTTGGGGCTGGATATTAATAACGCAGCGGGGAGGGACGGGAGGCGAGCGGGAGGGGAGCGCAGCCGCCCGCCCCAGGAGCTGCACACGCGATGCCCGCTCGGCCGGGGGGGGTCCTGAGCTGCCCCCCGTGTGCCCGGCCCCATAGCGGTACCTCTGGGTCAGGACGGAGCGGCCAGAACGCACCCCAGGGTGCTGGTGCTGCAGCAGAGCTAGGCATGGCTGCAATAGGGCGGCGGGACAGCCTGGCACCCCGCGCCCATCCCGAGGGAGCCCACGGTGCCGGGTAAGCCGCTGCGTTCTGCTGAATCTCTCGTAGTTCTCTGCCCACCCTGCTGGGGGGAGGTGGGCTGTGGGACCCCCCCTTGCTGCCCCATGGGCACACAGAGCCCTGCTTCACCCCAGGGAAACTGAGGCACGTGGTGCCCTCCTGCACCGTGCAGGGGTCGGGCATCACTGCTGAGCCCTTTGCCCCCATCGGCTGCCCCTGGCCCCCACGGGAAAATTGGGGGTAGGGGGGGGGGGGGGGTCTGGCTGTGCTGCTGCTACCAGTGTGGTGCTGGGGTGCAGGAGGGAATTTGTGTCCCCAGAGACCCCCGGTCCCCGTGGGTGCAGCGGGGTGGGAGGAAACCGGCTCAGCCAGGGGATTTTCCAGGAATGGCCCCGTCCCTGCTGCAGGGCTGGGGCCCCCGCACCCCTTTGCGGGGTGGGGCTGCGGGGTGCTTTGGGGACCATGGGGTGGTTTTACGGCTGTGGGGTGGTTTGAGGTCGTGCGGTGGTTTAGGGCCACAGGAAAAGGAGTTTTTGTGGGCAGTGGGGTGCTCAGGGTCAGGCACTACGGGGAGGGGACACAGGGCAGCCCTCTGGCACCCCCTGCATTGCTCACAGAGGGCAGATCCGGATCCAGGCGTGCTGCTCAGGGAGGGACACTGAGTCACGGCTGCACCACCGCCTCCACCACGCAGGTCCCGTCCTGCACCGCCAGCCCGGCAGGTGATGTGATGTGTGGGGCCGTGTGAGGTGCATAGAGCTGTGCTGAGCACAGAGCCATAAGGGTGATGGCATCGCCTGTGGGGCTGCGCCCACCTTGGTGGCACAGTTTGGGGTGCATCCCGCACCCCTGGGACCTTTCTGCACCGTCTCAACTTGGGGTCCCTGTGGTGTCACCCCATCAGTGGCACCACCGGTGACACCCTCGGTGTCTCTGCTCCACAGGTGTTGGTGGCTGTGGCGGGCGCTTCTCCTGGCCTGGCTCAGCCTGGGCTGTGGGATCGGCACCACGCAGGTGAGGGTTGGGGGCACCCGGCTGCTCTGGCTGCACATCGGCCCCAGCCATGATTGTCCCCTTCCTCCACGCAGGTCCCAGCCCCACGAGGAGCAATGTGGGGTCCTGAGCCCCCCACCCACACTCGGCCCCGCCGGCAGCCAGCTCAGGGTGCGTGGGGGCCATGGGGGCCGTGGAGTGTCTGCTCCAGCTCCTGCGGGGACGGCGTTGCGTTCCGCACCCGGAGGTGTCTGCGGTGAGCGGGGAGGGCAGTGCAGCCCCTGGTGTGTCCCCATGCTCAGAACCCCTCAGCACCTGGGCACCATCCCACACGATGGTTCTGAATAGTTTTAGAGGGGGAGGAATGGGGGAGGAAGCGGGTTTTGGATTTGGCTGTCCGCATCAGGAGGTGTGGGACACAGCCCCGTATGGGACACCGTGGTTCTGCTCTCATTCGTGCATCACTCCCAGCCCAGTTGGAGCATCCCAGCCCCACAAGAAATCTCCATGGGGTCACAGGGCTGCATGGGGCTGCCTTAATCCTAACCCTGACACTAACCCTGCTGATGCTGTGCTGCAGCTCTGCCGAGGAGGAGCCGTGCACAGGGGACCAGCGGCAGTACCGCCTCTGCCAGCTGCAGGTGAGCATCCATGGTGCAGCGCAGTGCAGCGTGGCGCTGTGGGTTCCACATTCCAGACCCTATTACCCCATCGTGCCACCCCCACAGGGCTGCCCTGGCGGCTCGGTGCCGTTCCGTGCCATGCAGTGCTCCCTATACGACGACAAACCCGTGCAGGGCATGCAGACCCGGCACCGCTGGGTGCCCTTCTATGGAGGTGAGCCCCAGGGCGTGGGGGCACCACCGGGGGCCCTGATGCCCCCACCACTGGTGTCCCCTCCTTCCCTCTGGCTCTGCAGCCCCCAACGTCTGTGACCTCAACTGCTTGGCTGTGGGGCACAACTTCTACTACACCTTTGGCCGAGTGCTGGATGGCACCCGCTGCAGGCCTGGCTCCACGGATCTGTGCGTCGGTGGGCGCTGCCTGGTGGGTGTGTGTGGGGATGGGACCCCTGGCCCCGGTCCCTGTCCCTGCCCTGACACCACATCTCTGCTCCTGCAGAGCGTTGGCTGTGATGGGATCCTAGGCATGGGTGCACAGACCCGTGTCTGCAGCCGGTGCGGTGGCGGGCAGGATGGGTGCCTCTTTGTGCACCGGCTCTTCCAGGACACGGAGCCCTTCTCCGGTGAATGAACATTGCCCCGGCCCCTCCATGGGTGAATGCTTTGGCTCTTGGCTCCCCTGTCCCCCTGTCCCCTGCCTGCTTTTCCTGCAAGCCCCATCACCTCTGGGGTGTTGCTGTGGTCTGGTGATCCCCAGGGCTGGTCAGGGGTCTCCAGGATGCACGCAGGACCCACGCGGTCCATGTCTCCCTTTGGGGTCCCACGCATGACCTGCGTGTCCCAGTGCATGGGGTCAGGCAGGGTCAATGCCCTGGGGGTGCCCCACTGTCCAACCCCCTCCCACTTCTCACTCACCCTGTGGGTGTCCCAGCTCTGGCCCTGCTGTCCCCATGATATCCCCTCGGGCCACATTCTGCCCTGACTCCCTGCCCACCTTCAGGTCATTTTGGGTACATGAACGTGACCAAGATTCCCGCTGGAGCCACCAACATCAAGGTGACAGACAAGAGCCGCAACTTCCTTGGTAGGATGTGTTCTGTCCCCTCCCAGTCCGTCCCAGTCCATCCTATGGCCACGGGCAACTGTGCAGCACCACTCCCCCCACTCTGAGTGCAACGCTCCCCATCTCAGGGCTCTTCCAGAGGCGGTGGCTGTGAGTTTTGGCCAGTGCAGGGCCACCGCGGGACTTGGGGGATTGGGGAGCTCTGCCCTTGGGATCCAGCTGTGCCATGGGACTTGGGCCAAACCTGCCATGGATTTAACGCTCCCCCACACCCCATACACAATATTCCCAATGTTCTGGCCCTCCTGGGGGCCTCCAATGGGGGCTCGGTGCCTCCTCCCAGCCCAGCCCTGTGTGCCAATCCCGGGGCCATGCGTGGCTCAGCCCAGATGCGCTCCTTCCCACAGCCCTGATGGGGAGCGACGGACGCTACGTGCTCAATGGGGACTGGTCCATCGCCTGGCCGGGGCCCTACGAGGCAGCTGGCACACAGCTGCTCTACGCCCGCAGCCCTGATGGCACCGAGAGCCTGGAGGCACCGGGACCCACAGACGAGGACCTCCATGTGCTGGTGGGGAGTGGGGGCAGTGTGGGGATGCGGGCGGCTGCCCCCAGCCCCAACGATCTCCTGAGTTCTGCCCCTGAACACACAGGTGCTGCTGCAGGAGCCCAACCCAGGCATTGAATATGAGTTCTGGTTGCCTCGTGGGCTCCCCCAGCGCAGCATGGTGGACACCAGTGCCCTGCGGCAGCCCCAGCCCCGTGGGGCCGGCAGCCCCCCGCCTGCTGAGCCCCCACTTCCCACAGTGACCCCCAGGGCCTGGGGCCACATCACAGAGCCACTGCCACCGCGAAGCCCCCCTGGGGTCAGAGCTGCTGCAGGTGACCTCCCACATCCTCCCACAGGCCTGGGCTGTATGCTGGAGTCCAGAAGCGCCCCTCTCTCCTTACGGGTCCCAAGGGAGGGTTTGGATGCCACATCCCAGCCTTTGTCCCCGCAGGGCGATGCGGGCGGTGCCGTCCACCCAAGGGACGCTCCCAGCGCATCCGGCACTTCTGCCAGAGTGACTTCGGTGAGCAGCAGTGGGGCAGGGGGGCAGGGCAGGGGGGGGGCAACACCCGGCGTGATGCCCCGCTCAGTGCAGCCCACTCCCACCCTGCAGTGTTCCGAGCACGGATCCTGGCACGCCGCTCGGTGGGGCAGGAGATGCGCTACGAGGTGCAGGTGGTGACGCCGTACCGGCGCCGCTTCCCCATGGTACCGCTGGAGTACGTCTGGGTGCCCGACACGTGCGGCTGCCCCACGCTGCTGGGGGGCCACGAATACGTGCTGATGGCACGGCGGCACGTCAACTACGAGCACACGCTGAACCGCATCCTGCTGCAGCGCGACGGCTACGCGCGGCCGTGGTCACCCCGTGAGGAGCGCGCGGTGCGGGAGGCGGAACGGCACTGCGCCCACCTGCAATGAGGCTGAACGGATGGGGGACCCCAGTGGGGATGAGGGGACGGGACCCCTCCTTCCTGCTGCGCTGTGGGACCTCAGCGGCCCTCGGCACGGCCGTGGGGGGTGGTGGAGGGGAGTGGTAATTTATTATTTTTGCAGAAAATAAACCTATCTATCGCTCGCTTGCTGTGTAGCCCTTTCCTGGCTGTAATAAACCCGGTGTGTCCCCACCCTGGGGTGCTGTCCCGTGTCCCCGCACTGAGCCCCCCGAGCAGCACATCCCCGTGCCCATCCCCACGTGGCCGCCTGCCAGGCTGTGCCTCTCGGGGCCGGGACCTCTGCTTATCTCCCTTCCGGCGGAGGCGAGGGTCCGTCGCTGTGCTGTAACACAAGCCGTGTTCTGGCTGTGTCCCACGGGGCCCACAGATGGGGACGGGGATGGGGACACCCCGGCGCTGCGCCACGCACCCCAGGGCAAGTCACACCATGGGCACAGGGTGTTGGGATCAGCCTGGGTGGCACCAGGTGATTTGGTGCGCCGGTGAGGCACCCTGCAGTGCTTAGGGGCAGGAAGACGCTGATGCCCAATAAAAGTGCTCCTTCCACCCAGCAGTGTTTGTCCCTGGGCACGGGGGGCTGCTTTGCTCTTGGAGGGGGAGGGGATCCCCAGGCAGTGAGCAGTGCTGGGCAGTTTTGTGCTGTCCCCTTTGCTGAGGGTCTCTCCCCATCCCGCTGTCTGGGGGGTTTGGGCTGCGTGCTCAGGAGTTTTGTTGTTCTCCACATCTTCGTCACTACTGCGATGAGGCAGAACTGTGCTCATACGCTGGTTGTGCTGGAGCCCAGCTGCTCTCCTTGCTCAGGAGGCTGCCCATGGGACCCAGCACCGAGTGGTGGGAGAACCCCTCTGGTGCATGGTGAGGATGGGGTTGGGATCTGGGATGGGGCTGTCTGAGTTGGGGCTGCTCTCGGACACACACAGCCCTCCACATCCCCATCTCTCCCCCAGCACAACGTGCTCAGTGTCAGTTCCGCACTGCAGGCTGCACGCTGGGAATGGGACAGGCCATGGCGGGGGGGGGGAAAGACCCCTAGGGAGGGTCCCTGAATCCCTCCAGGCCGAGGGCCAGCACAGCTGCTGGCAGTGTGCCGTGATGGGAGCACAGCTTCCTGGTGATTGCACCCTTGGACAAAGGTCTTTCTCTCCTTGGTGACATCCACGCGTGCCCCAGCTGTGCAAACAGGCCGAGCCTGGGGATGGCACAGCAGGCACAGGACTGATGGCCAACACCCAGCAAAGCTGCACTTCTCTGCTCCATGCCCGTGTCCTGCAGTGGTGGCTGACTCCCATTTGGCTGTGATGTCCCCACGAGGGCCCCTGCTGGCAGCGGTCCCCACGCTGTCCCAGCCCGGCGCCGCGCTGCGTGCTGGGGTGCAGCTGTGCTGTGCTGCTGGGACACGGGGCACTGTGGTGTGCAGTGGCCCCAGGCACGTTCCTGAAGGCTGAACCTTGTGCCAGCACTGCAGCGCGGATTGGGGCTGTTCTCTCCGAGCAGCAACACAGCACCCAGCTCCTGCTCCATACCCAGATGTGGGCTTTTGGCCTTTCCAGCACAAGACATGTTTACTCGGGTGCAGCTGTTTGGAGGGACGTCACGTCTCCTCCCCACCCCTCTGCGCCTGGGAAAGGCCGTGAGGTCCGTGCTCTGCTCCCTCTGGACATCACCTCCATGAACCAGGGCTGTGTCCAGCAATGCCCCAGTCCTGGGGGTGCAGGGATGAGGCAGCAGAGGATGGCAGCCATCACTGTGTCCGTATCCACATGTGGAGCTGGGTGGGAGCAGCCCATAAAGACAACAGGGGGTTTATTTTGAAGACGGGTACGGATGGCTGTGAGCCAGGCTGGTTTCACTTTCCCCCAGCCCAGCAGCGACCTGCACAGCCAGCCAGCACACATAGCCAGGCAGTACGGAACATACAGGACAGCATGGCCAAGAGGATCACAATCTCACAGAGCAGGAGGACGATGGGGAGGAGGTTCCTGTACAGCCCTTCCTGGGGGGTGAGGCCCTGCGGAGCGGAGCAGGAGTGGGTGTCCTCATCCAAGGTGTGGGCAGCGGGGCAGGAGGTGCAGTTGTTGGCTGAGCTGCCCTGGCACGTGTAGCACGAGTGGTGGCAGCGGGCGCAGATGCGGGATGTGTGCGTGGTGCTCCGGGAGCGGCCGTAGGAGCGGGGTGGGCAGTAGGACAGGCAGGAGCTCTGGTAGGCATAGAAGGAGCCACTGCACTCTGCAAAGGGATGTGGGGTGTGAGAGGGGACACGGAGCCCCCTGGAGCCACCAGGAACTGAGAGCATCATCCCCTCCTGCCTGGAGTCGTGGTGAGGGATGCGCTCACCCTCGCATGCTCCCTGTGCGTCCCGCTTGGTGCACTCGCCCGTGGTGGGGGCTGAGAAGTGCCTGGCCATCATGTCCTCATCTGTGCCGTGCAGGTGAAGGATGAAGCTGGTCAGCACGCCTGGTGGTGGGAGGAAGAGAATGCAGTGCTGGGTGGTGGCCATACGTCCCCAACCCACGTCCTTGGTGGTGGATGTGGGGCTGGAAGCTGCAATGCCCTTTATAGGGCTGTGTGGGAGACCGCAAAGCACAGCCCCCGCAGAGACAGGGCTCTCCCAGGGGCTTTGCCCAGAGGGAAGCAGAGGGAGGACGGTCAGATGCCAACCAAATAAGGGGAAGGGAGGGAACGAAGCACTGGGTGATACCGGTGGATGGGTTTGTCCCCCCGGTGCCCACCTGTGTTGTAGGCATCACCCTTGTTCTCCAGCTGCAGTGTCCAGGTCCCGTTGGGGTCCTCATCCCAGAAATGTGTGGACATGAAGGTCCAGTCCTTGTAGCCCTGCTGGCTGGTGTCGTATGGGCTGTGGGCAGACATGGGGGGGGGCTGCAGGGGCTGCAGACCAAAGGGGCTCCGCAGACGCTCTGGGCTGAGCTTAACAGGGCACTGCCAGGACTCAGCACAACCCTTACCGCACAGACACCAGTGTGGACGTGGTCCCCATGGGGCTCCTCAGTGCAACCTGCAGGTCCCCCCGGCGGCTGTAGCTCAGTGAGAGCTGCACCTGGACGTGCTCCAGTGAGCGGATGCTCCTGGTCCTCCCCGAGCAGGAGGAGGTGTCTGCAGGCACGGTGAGTTTGGAGCCGATGTTCCTGATGGGCACAAGAAGGGGTGAGAGCATCATCACCCCCCCCTCGGTGGGCATCCTGCCCTCTGCCGTGGCTCTGACCACAGCCCTGCACTGACAGCAGAAGCCAACTCCTGAGATGCAGTTCCTGCATCAGACAGCAGCACAGCTTTGCTCCAAGAAAGCCCCTGTGTGAGGTCAGACCCCAGGGGACCTCGTTCCTTACCGGGGGGCGCGGAGAGCTTCGATGGAACACCTCTGCTGAGGCCGGCTTCCTGCCCACGCCTGGGCCAGCTCCACCAGCAGAGCCGCGTCCAGCAGCCCGTAGCCGTAGTGGTGGCTCACTGGGATGTGGGAGAAGGGGGCACGTGAGCCCCTCTGAGGGCTGGGCACTGGTTGAAGCCAGCAACCACAGACTCACCCTTGCGCCCGACCCCGTTCACAGCCCAATCCTCTGCCTGCAGGTGAACGGGTCGGGAGGCCCTGACCACCAGGTGCTGCACGTCACGCCAGGTCAGTGCTGGGCTGGGAGGGAGAGGACGTTGGGGAAGAGGTCTCTGCTTTGGGGGGAGTTCTGAGGGCAGCCTCCCAGCACCTACTTGGCCTCCAGAGCGAGGGCAACCATTCCTGCAGCCAACGGGGCCGAGGCAGAGCTGCCTGCGTGTCTGTCGGTGCAGCGGTGGTGCAGATCAGTGGTCACCTGGGGAGGGCAAGGGGGTGGGGGTTCGTCCCTTATCCCCTGCTGGAGGATGCACCCTGGTCCCTCCATGCCCCATGCTTGGGTGGAAGCGCCTCCTCCTGTCCAGGTTGGGGGACACTCACAATCTGTGCTTGGCTGCTGGTGCTGCTGCTGTAGGTGGTGGTGAGGGTGGAGGCACAAGGTTCGCTGTAGCGAGGCTGCCGGCCACTGGCAAAGGCACTGCTCACAGTCAGCGTGTAGATGCTGTTGGTGTACCCATCGCAGTTGCAGTTGTCATAATTGATGCCACCATTGCCAGAGGCCCAGATGAAGATGGAACCGAGCCCCCCACGCCCCTGGGACAGGGAGAGGATGAGCAGGAGACGGCCTTGTCACCATCCAGCTCTGTGCTGGAGAACCCAAAGTACCCCTGCTGCACCAGCACCAGCACACTTCTGCTCTGGTCAGGAGCCAGCAAACCTACAGGATGTGAGTGCTGTGCTTACTTTTGTGATCCCGTTGTGAAAGGCTTTCATGGCCAGCACCCCCGGCCCATCCACGTGCCTCCCATCATCCAGAGGGCCCCAGCTGGCGCTGTAGATATGGATGTGCTGCGGCCGCAGGCTGAGGGACTGAGCCTCCACGATGTCCGTGATGGGACCATCCAGCATCCGCACACCTGGGGAGGCGATCTGGCAGTCAGGGCTCATTGGGTCTGACCATCCCCAGCCCTGCTCCACAGCCATCAGCTTCCTGCAGGTCAGTGCAGCCGCTGCCGGATTATCAATCCTTCTTAACCCCCGTGCAGTTTTAACCCCGCTTTGGCACGGTCACTTTGCAGGGAAGCTGGGCGGTGAGCAGGGCACCGGTCCTGCAGTGTGGGGAGGCAGAGCCCTGCGCTGCCGCTGGGCCTGCTGCAAGTCCGCAGCACCCTCTAGCGCTGTGCAAGCCCTAAACTTCCCCCGGAGCAGCCCAGAGGCCGGGAAGCCCTCAGGGCTTCGCATCCATGAAACATCATCCAGGGGTTCACTGCTGTTGTCCAAAGCACTGCTCTGGAGCCTCAGCTCCCTGGTTTTACAGCACTGTGGTGCTGCTGGGGTCAGCCCGAGGGTTGCAGGCTGAAGGCACGCGCTCCTCCAGGTTCCTGAGCTGGCTCGTGCCTCCTTCCCATGCCAAGCAGCAGGAGGAGGAATTGCTCACCTCCAATTTTTGCATTGTATGCAATGCCTGCACCGCAGATCTGGTTGTTGGCTACGGC